ATTCCCAATTTTCAAATAATCTTAATGTTTTTCTCAATACCCAATTGATGTTCAGAAACAAATAATGGTGCAGAATAGCATTTTATTCCAGAGCAAACAGCTCCATGCTATCAGCATAGAAGTAAGCTCATTGGATTTTTTAGATCTTGGCCAATATGGTTCAGAGGTCTGTAATCAAGACAAATAAAGACTAAGGGCCAAAGAAATTCTTAGTAGCATTATGTTCACAGAAACTCTCAGAAGTTTCTTTTATTTATTTATGTTTATTATTATTTATTTGAGGCAGAGTGCTCACTTTGTGCCCAGGCTAGATGAGTGCCGTGGCGTCAGCCTAGCTCACAGCAAACTCCAATCCGGCTCAAGCATCCTCCGCCTCAGGCTCCCGAGTAGCTGGGACTACAGCATGGCCACCATGCCTGGCTAATTTTTCGTATTATATATTTTGAGTTGGTCAATTAATTTCTTTATATTTTTAGTAGAGACGGGGTCTCACTCAGGCTGGTTTTGAACTCCCAACCTAGAGCAATCCGCCCGTCTCAGCCTCCCGGAGTGCTAGGATTACAGGTGTGAGCCACCATGCTCGGCCTCTCAGAAGTTTCCAGATTATCATTAAGAATTAGCCAGCTGTTTAAGGGATTTCTAAAAGAAAAAAGAAGGAGGAGAGAGAAGAGGAGAAGGCGAGAGGAGAAGAAGAAGAAGAAGAAGAGGAGAGAGGAAGGAGAAGAAGAAGAAGGAGGAGGAAGAGAAGAGAGGAGGAGGAGAAGGAGGAGGAAGAAGAAGAAGAGGAAGAGGAGGAGGGGGAGGAAGAAGAAGAAGAACAAGAACAGGAAGAGGAAGAAGAAAAAGGACGGAGAAGAGAAGAGTAAGGAAAATAAATAAATAAATAAATAAATAAATAGAAACTTCTGAGAGTTTCTGTGAACATAATGCTACTAAGAAATTTCTTTGGCCCTTAGTCTTTATTTGGTCTTGATTACAGACCTCTGAACCATATTTGGCCAAGATCTAAAAAATCCAATGAGCTTACTTCTATGCTGATAGCATGGAGCTGTTTGCTATGGAATAAAATGCTATTCTGCACTATTCTATTGTTTCTGAACATCAATTGGGTATTTGAGAAAAACATTAAGATTATTTGAAAAATTGGGAATGATGTTAAGAATATTTAAAAATTTAGAAAATTTATAGATTATTTTATCCTTTCCAGTATTTTCTAGAGTTGTTTCATGTTTTAATTAAATTCTAAACATGGGAACATTTCTTTAAAGCTCATATTTGAACTACTTTGCTTTAGTGACTCATTAAAAATTATTTTTGGGCTGGGCGCGGTGGCTCACACCTGTAATCCTAGCACTCTGGGAGACCGAGGAGGGCGGATTACTCAAGGTCAGGAGTTCGAAACCAGCCTGAGCAAGAGCGAGACCCCCATCTCTACTAAAAATAGAAAGAAATTAATTGGACAACTAAAAATATATATAGAAAAAATTAGCCAGGCATGGTGGCGCATGCCTGTAGTCCCAGCTACTCGGGAGGCTGAGGCAGGATGATCACTTGAGCCCTGGAGTTTGAGGTTGCTGTGAGCTAGGCTGATGCCACCGCACTCTAGCTTGGGCAACAGAGTGAGACTTTGTCTCAAAAAAAAAATTATTTTGGGGTTTATTAGTTAAGGTGAAAAGGTTAAGGGTCAAGAATTAAGTATTGCCAATTGTTTTCTGCCTTGCTGTGATTAACCATTGAATGCTTTTTTTCTTTTTTTTCCCCTAAACAGGTGCAGATTTCATAACGATTTTGGAGAGTGATGCTTCCAAGCCCTATATGGGGAACAATGACTTAACTATGTGGCTGGGGGAGAGGTTGGGGTTCTATACAGACTTTGGGCCAAGCACAAGGGACCACACTTGGGGGTGAGCATATTCACGCCTTGGGCCGTTAAACCCGAACACAGTCCTGGAAGACCGGGCGGCACAGGCGTGGGCTGGGACGTTGCTATTGTCATGCATTTGTCCTGTGAACGTGCCACAGTGGCGCTTCTTGGGGATGGCGAGGTCCTGAAGACGTGGCCGGGTTTCTGACCCGAATCCCTGATAGGGGATGACGTCATTTAATGGGACAGGGGCCACCAGGAGGGCAGCAGTTTGTGCTAAGTGTCAGGTGGCCCCGGACAGCCCGGGAGGCGGTGGTGTGTGGCCCGGCGGGCCGAGTAGGACAGGCCAGGCTGGAGATGTCCCTTCAGGTGTCACCAGGTAGAGACGGGCCTGTCCCAGAGACCACACGGGGCGACGGGCAGTGCACGTAGCGAGGGGAGAGGAAAGCCCGCCGGGGCCTGAGATCGGCTCGTGCTTTTCACACGTAGCTCTTAGAGTGACGTGCAGTGTCCTTCCGTCCCCTCAGTGCTTTTCCATTTCTAACTTTATATATAAACTGTGACTTCTAGTCCTTGCTGGCAGGACTGCACGTCCTCGTATGCGCTGATGAATATTAATGTAAGAATTGTTTATGCAAATGCGTTGTCAGAGCAACAATGCAAGTGAAATGGATTTTGTGCATTACTAAACCTGCCCTTTTCGTGTCTCCATGGCTCTTATTATTATTATTTTATTTATTTATTTTTTGAGACAGTCTCACTCTGTTGCCTGGGCTAGAGTGAGTGCCGTGGCGTCAGCCTCGCTCACAGCAAACTCCAATTCCTGGGCTCCAGCGATCCTCCGGCCTCAGCCTCCCCAGTAGCTGGGACTATAGGCATGCGCCACCATGCCCGGCTCATTTTTTCTATATTTTTTTAATTGGCCAATTCATTTCTTTCTATTTTTTTTTTGAGACGAGTCTACTCTGTGCCCAGGCCTAGAGTGAAGTGCCGGTGGCGTCACTTGCCACAGCAGCTCAACTCCTGGGCTCAAGCGATCCTCCTGCCTCAGCCTCCCTAGTAGCGTGGGACTACAGGCATGGCCCCATGCCCGGCTATTTTTCCTATATTTGTTAGTTGGCAATTAATTTCTTTCTATTTATAGTAAGACAGGGTCTCGCTCTTGCTCAGGGCTGGTTTCGAACCCCTGACCTTGAGAGCCGATGCCTGCCCGCCATCCCGGTCCTCCCACGAGTGCAGGATGACAGGTGTTTGGAGCCACCGTCCGCCGGCCACGAACAACCAGTTTTAAATAACGTGCCATTGAGGCTGGGCTGGAGGCGGGAGGATCGCTCACGGTCAGGAGTTCGAGACCAGCCTGAGCAAGAGCGAGACCTCTGTCTCTACTAAAAAATAGAAAGGGCCGGGCGCGGTGGCTCACGCCTGTAATCCTAGCACTTTGGGAGGCCGAGGCGGGCGGATCGCCTCAAGGTCAGGAGTTCAAAAAGCCTGGAGCGAACCCCCGTCTCTACCAAAAATAGAAAGAAACTAATTGACCACTAAAAATATATATACAAAAAATTAGCCAGGCATCGGTGGCGCATGCCTGTAGTCCCAGCTATCGGGAGGCTGAGCAGTAGATTGCTGAGCCCAGGAGTTTGAGGTTGCGGTGAGGCCAGGCTGACGCCACGGCACTCACTCTAGCCTGGGCAACAAAGTGAGACTCTGTCTCAAAAAAAAA